ATGTTTTCAAAAAAAAAATGATACCCATTAAAATAATTATTTTAAACAAATAAAAAAAATCAAATATGGACTTTCCAAATTAGATATGCATAATAAGCAATTGGTATCATCTATCTCACTCTCCTATAAGAAGCTTGGAACATTTGATTTTTTTATGATCCTTTGAAATCGATAATTTACGTATGATTTTATTATTGTTGTTGTTTTGTTTATTTGACGATTTTATTATTATTATTATTATTATTATTATTGTTAACATTAATATTATTTGGAATGGATTGTAGTGATTCGTCTTGATTATCCATTAACACAACTTTATCTTCTAAATCAATCAAAACTTATTTTAAAATACGTTATTTAATTTTGCATCTAAAATATCATAATTATCAGATAAAATAATCTAATTGGAAAGGATTAATTAACCTATAATAACCATATTTCAAGAGAAAATTCTTGTTAAAAGAAGAATAATGGCAACATCGGCCACATGCATGGATTTTCATATGCTTTCTACTATTTGGGCGAATAGAAACCGGAAAGAAAAGGAGAAAAAAAATAGAGGTCCCAAATCAAACTATCAAAGTGGGAATGATGATATTGATAAGACCACGACTAAACAACAAAAATAAAAGTAAAAGCTAGTGTATGTGGGATAGTGACACCTTTAATTCCAAAAACTATATAATTTTTTTAAACTGTCATATATATAAGCTATTATATTGCAATATAAATTTTTTCTATTTTTTTCAAAGAGTAGTACATTAATCTTTTTGGGCATCAAAAGTGTATGGCACAAAATAAATTGTGTTGACTTTATTTATATGCCGTATGCGAAAGTCTATTAAGAGACAAAGGTTTTTGTGACCACTGTGCATGTGTTATGTTGTCAAGTGGTTCCTCTCCCAATAAGCTTCTCTCTGTTTTCTTACATCCACATCAATGTAACCCTCAACCCACTACATTTAGTCTGGTTCCCTTGCTTTATTTCATTATTTATATGTTTCTAACACATTTCTCTCTCCAATCAATTGTTAAAACAGTTTTAAGTTCGATCATGATCAGTCTGGTTGGTTTTTTATGTGATCTAGAAAATTTGAACCAAAACAACAAAACCCATAAGAAACTTTACTGGTGTAAGCTAATATAATACATATATATATATATATACTCTTTTCATTCAAAATATAAGAGGGATAACTAATTAAGAAAACTAATTACATTACTTGTTTGTAAAAAAATGTGTTTGTTTTCTTAAAATACATTGTTTAATTATTTCCATTAAAGCTTCTCGTTTATAGAAGTTTCAAAAAATTATAAATTCAGAGCTCAGAATAAATTAGAGTCTCTTGTATTTGGAGCCAAACTTGATCTCCTAATTAATTTTATGTAAGTTGCATTTTTTTTTGGCTACCGTTAATCCTTTTTAATGAGTTACACCATGTCTGAAAATTTAATTCTTTACATTTTTATACCTATTAATTACATGTCTATGCATTAATTATCACATGTTAACTAAGAATTATATTTCCTTTCTCTTTTGTAGATTCTCTTTCATCTTTTTTTTTCTTCCCCAAATTCTCCATCATCTTTTTTACCTATTTATTTTGTTTCACTCAGTCAATTCATAAGGTATATTATAAAATAAATACATTTTCTTACATGTTTATTAGCTTTAACTAATTTTCATTGATATTTTGATATGCGTAATTCAATTATATTTTTATCTTATATATATAATCAGAGAGAATAATATTAATTAGGTAACAGTATACATTTGGTCATTTAACTTTATACAAGATTTCAGTTTGATCTCTTAATTACCTTAAAAAGTACTCGTATATTGTTAGTCTTTTAATCTTAAAATTATTAGACTTGAATGATTATTTTTTATAACAATCATGATTGTTATGAAAAAAAACTTAATATATTAGTATTGTATTTGAGATGTTTTATTAATATTTAAGATTTTAATATTATCATTTTTGTAAACGGTTTTATTGTTAAAGAGCTAAAAGATACTTTGTCAAATTAAGAAATCAAACGAGAACCTGTATAAAATTAAAGGACTAAACTAAAAATATACCTTTACCTGTTAATTATATATGTATTCACATTATGAATTCTGGATACAGCAAAAATCAATACTATCTGATTATGGGAGTTTAATCAAGCCTAATGAGTAATGACTTCCTTTTAAAATCATCGCTATTGAATATACCACGTAAATACACCACAACCCCCTCCTTTTATGGTCATGTATAGCGAAGCCGACATTTTTGTGTATTGATGCTATATTGATTTATACTCGCATAACATAATTTGCTTAACCAATTGTAACTTGTCGCGTAAGGAGTTAGGTTTTGTATAGTAATCCTCCGATCCTTAATATAGGACCTATTGTTGAGTTGATTTTGATTCTAAATATAAGACCTATTTTTTATATTTATCAATTTTTCCTAAATTATCCTTAGAGATGCTCCCTCGACCATAATCAAGTAGAAGAAGGAGAGAGGATATTAAGAAAAATGATTATAGTGTTTTAGAAAAAATATGTTATATTTTTTATAACTAACTAACTTACCTAACTTCCTTAATTTAATTAAATTAGTTAAATAAATCTTGTATTAAAGACCGGAGGAGTACATGATATTTTAGTACTCATCACTATGGTGAGAGATGGTACAATGATTTAAATTTAAAATTTTCAGTTAATAATTTTTAAATAAAAAATCAGTTTTTTTTTTTCAAAATTAACAGTTAAAAAATTTATCTTTATTTTGAATTATACATGTACGCATTAAAATGCCTCTTTTTTTTAAAAAAATAAAACTATTCACATATTTTGGTGGATGAGCAATGAATAAACCAGTTCTCGTGATCCTCACACACACATTTATATGAATACCTTTCCATCCGATTGAAAGGATATCATCTCCGATTTCATTTTAGTTATCAAAAACACCCCCCCAATTAAATTATGTTGAGAGAACTACCTTCATTTATTTAAACAAATTAATAAGGAATTAAATTGGGAAGATGATTTTTTGAGTTATAAGATTAGCTGAAAAATAATTGCGCGAAAAACTAAATTAATAAAAAGTTTCTTACTAAAATAATCGAGTTTGGTACTAAGTAAAGGGTCATTTTCGTAGAATAAGCAACTTTTCTTTTCACAAAAAGAAAGCTTGCATAATTTCATGGTGATAATATCATACCATATAAAGTGATAGCAACAAAAGTGAAGAGGAGTTATTTTATGATTTCATAATATTATAAAATGGTAGTCTCTCCATTCTTATTTATAAAAAAAACATTTGGCCAATTATGTAAATTAAAAATTTAGTTAAAATTAGCTAAAGACAATAAATGAAAAATTGTAATTTTTTTAAAAAAACCCTTTTTATAAGGTAGAGAGTATAAAGAAGAAAATAAAAAAAATTATTAAAATAAAAGAATAATGTTTTGAAAAATGAGATAATAAATATATTGAGTGATAAAATAAATAAATTAATATGGATACAATGGGAAATTAACCAAAATAAGTTGAAATGTCTCTTATAAATAGGAACAAGATAGAGATGATAGCTATTTCTTATTAAAAAGGATGGAGGGGGTATATAACTTCATTTTCATGCTTTGTGGGCTATATTTTCGACCCTCTTTTAACTTTTAAGTTAAGAATAAATTCTCTATCTTGTGGAAATGTGGAATCCCCTCTCCTTATATATATATATATATATATATATATTTTTTTTTTTTCTTTATGAATTTCTTAAAATGTAATGTAATTTTCCTTCGTTGATATTTGATAATGATGTTGAGAGCATTGACACTTGGACTAGATTTTGGTCCAGGAGTAAGTTAGAAGTTCTTTAATGAAAATATTGGGAGAAAAGTATACAAGACTCACATATTATTAGAATTTGGATCATTTTAAAAACAAAATTTTACAGTTTTACATTATAGATTTGTTAATCAATAATTAAAATTATAACTAGAATTTTGTTTAAAAAATTCAGTGTAAATCTAAAAAGTAAAATAGATAAATTTTATATAAAAATGATTAAAAAATAGACTTGTAATAGATGCATTTACAATTACCAAAAAGAAAAAAGAATTTCAGGATAATTTCTTGAATATGAGATCAGGAGAGATGAATACACAAGGATCTCTCTATTGAAAAGATTCTTCAATTGGACAATTTTTTTTTCGTTTGCCAACCTTCAATTTGACATTTGAATAATTCAAATTTCAAGATATTTTATGGGGACCAATTCTAAGATATTTTATATTGACATTTTAAAATGTGGCAAAAAAATTTTAGTATTTTGTATAAAAATAAATACCACATTGTTCTAAAAAGCTTAAAAAATAATTAGTAAAATTTTATTAATTTTAAAATTTGGAAGGATGAGGTTAAATCATTTCAAATTTGAAATTACTAAACTAAGAGACGTTTTAATTGAACCAATTTAAGTTAGGATGCGTGTAAGAATTCTCGTGGTTGAGGGTTTGCTTTTTAATCATTGTAAATGAAACAAACTTAACTAGGAGGAATCCTCAATAAAACCTTTTTTTTTAGAGCTTCTGCTATCAGGAAAATATACCCCTTGTGCTTAGAGAGAGAGAGAGAGAGAGATTTTAATCAAAAGCAAATCTTACATAGATAAGGTTTTTTTTTTTTGCCATAATACAAAAACAGCGTTTTAACTGTAGATAATTTTGAACTTTTAATATTAATTTGAACTGTACGTTATATTATTTTTAATTTTAATATAAGCCATCGTTTTCTAAAATCATGTTCAATTTTCTTGTTTTATTATTGCAAAATAAGAATGAACAATTAAAACACCAAACAAAATTTACACAGAGGAACCAGATGTGCCATGAGATGTGTTCACTTTTGCCTTAAAGTGCAACCTATACCATTTCATGCATCTCATTCTTGCAACTTTTCATCTTCTATATAAGCCCTAGTTTCTCTTCTTCCATCCCATGCTCTTCCACTTTCACTCCTTCTTCTTCTTCTTCTTCTATTATGGACAGAAACCAATCTCGCAGGCAGCTTGCTACCATGAAACAATCCCTCTTTGACCAGGTTCTTCTCTTCTTTTGATATCCCCTGTTACTTGTTATTAGTTTAAGCCATTTTCTCATGTAGTAAACATGCATGGCTGATAAACTACACTAATCCTACTTACTACTTAACAATGTTCCATGCCACAGACAATAAGTTAAGAAAAACAAAGATCATAAAGCTTCTACTGGTTGTTTTCAGGGATATCTGGATGAGCAGTTCATCCAACTGGAGGAACTGCAGGATGATGCCAACCCTAACTTTGCAGAAGAGATTGTGACTATTTACTTCCGTGATTCTTCCAGATTCATTTCAAACCTTGAGCAAGAAATGTCAGTTCACTTACTTGTTTATCCAAATTTTCATTTCACTTTCCTTGCATGTGATTGTGTTTCATGTTAGTGTTGTGATGACTCTCTTGTGGTCGTAGCAGGCAGAGGACCGCACCAGATTTTGACAAGCTTGACAGCATTATGCATCAGTTCAAAGGAAGCAGCTCCAGGTAAATATTCTTATCATTGTTGCTAGTTTAGTGACTAGGATGGGAAACCCTGCACCAAAAACTAGTTGTTGAGATGAAAGAACCAACCCACTTAAATATCAGCATACCATGCTACTCAATGAGGGATTACCATCAATTTCCATCATATTTTCTCTGGCTTCATGATCAAAACCGGAAAACCTAGTGATTTCAACTCATTTTATTACATGGGGTTGCAGCATTGGAGCCCAGAAGGTGAAAACAGAGTGTACTCTGTTTAGGGAATACTGCGCAGCAGAAAATGCAGAAGGGTAATAAAATCTATCTCTAAAATAGATACATTTTATTCTAGCACACAGGATTTGCTAAATGAACTTCTATATATGTATAGCCAAGAATAATGCAGCTTGACATATATTTTATAAATAACGCAGATGCATGAAGAGTTTCCAACAACTGAAGAAAGAGCATGCTGTACTGAGAAAGAAACTTGAAGCTTATTTTCAGGTTGCGTCTGTGCATTTATAAGCAAGCATTATAATTATCTCAGTAATATGGCAACAAAATTTGAGTTCTAATATTGCTTTTAATTACCACTGTGCAGCTAGCTAAGTAACATCGGACAAGGGGGACAGACAGCATGTATCCCCAAGTTAAGACAGCATCAATAAATATGCTTGTTGTTGTTGTTGTTGTTATGAGGCTCATGTAGTTGGTGGATTTTGTAGCTTCAAATGCATTTTCACCAGAATAATATATAGAAAAAGATATAATAATGGGTTTGGGATATTTTGCTTCCATACATACTAGTTTTGTTTTAAAGCTTGAATGATAAATGTTGTGGGATATTTTTATTCCAGTGGCATCTGACACCTGAGTTTCATCATAGTATTTGATAGTGGAAGGATGTATATGATTGTAAGTTCTACATATTGAATACATTATTAAATACTTATTTCACGTTAGTTTCTTTTATCATGATAATTTCAGGAACTTAACAATTTAAGTAATAATTAAAAAAATTATTACATAAGTTAGAAAAAGTTACCAATAACTTTATACACTCATTGTATAAAAGCTCTCAAAGGTTGTGGCTTCAATTTCACATGTAACCTCAATCTGTGCCTTTTTAATAATTAAAAGAAACTTAGAAAAAGTAGTATGATACGAAACTCCATCTTAGTCATGTCAATTAATCTTAGCCAACTAACATACTAATCCAACTATTACTTTTTGTTATTAATATAAAAGTTAGTCAGAGAGTTAAATTTGATATTAAATATAAGACCTTAATTCACTTTATTTTTTACTTATAATTTTTTTCCTCAAAATGTCTTCATTGGTTACAAGGAACTTCATCGAAATCATAGCTCCAACACACGTGATTAAATATAGTAATTTAGGATATTCAATATGTATTTGTTACAAATAACCAATTCAATTATTTTTTTTAATATACTTAAATTCGTTATTTAACTTTTATAGTTGTCTAACTTTCATATTAAAGACTGAGAATAGTAATATAGTTGATCGAATTCATCATCCAATTTATCTAAAATTTACTTTACATAGAACTATTATTTTTTACCACCCTTTACATATAACTATTGGATTCAAGCCCAGACAAAAAAAATGATAAAATATTTAAAAGAATTACATAATGTAGCTTTTATAAATAATATAAGAAATTTTGTTCGTGAAAAATAATATAAGAAATTTAATTTGTTCAGGCATCATTTTTATAAATAAGCTGAGGTTCATTTTTTCATTATTTCAATTATTTTTATTTAATTAGGATAATTGAACTTTATAGTAATCTAACATAAAGTATACTAAAAATATTCATGACTTATACTTAGAATCAGGAAAAAAAAAGAAGAAGAAGAAGAAAAGGATTCCATATCTATTTATGATCAATAAATATAATTTGTTGCCAATGTTGGGCATCTGCCGCTATACTTGCAATCAATGTTTTGGGGTTACCGGCCTCACTGCAAATAACTGAAATAAGCAACTACTATATGCGGTTGTCGGAAGAATGGGAGGATGCCAGGTGCATAATTAATTATATAATTTTTAAAAATTTATAAAAAATAATTAATTAATTCTTATAGTTGGCAATAATAACCAAATGGAAAATTAGAAATAATAATAATAGTGAGGTATTAGTATATTCTATTTCCTAACATTAGGCCTGTATGCTTTGGGAATGAATGAAGTACTTATTTGATGAAAAACTTCTTTAATTCGTGGAATAAAAAAAAATTAGGAAAACATAAATTTCAGAAACAAAATAATTTCAGATCTTATATTTAACACCAAAAACAGATGGGGAATATTAACTACTTTGTTATAAGTGTCAAGACAAAAAAAACTAAATGAATAAATTTAAACTATAAAAATCCAATTCTAAATTCATAGTTACCCAAAAAAGAAGAAGAAGAAAGAATAGCTATGAGATCGGATGAAAAGCAACTATAAAAAAATTTTAAGTAATAAGTGAGAAGTTACCATTTTTCAAACGAAAACTTATCATTATAAGCTACTATGTTCTTATTGTGATTTTTTAGTAATTATATTATGTTCTTATGACTTAGGTTACCAGGCATGGTTGGCCAAAAAAAAAACCTACAGATTTGGTTTCTTTCTTCCATCTCTACCCTTCTCATCTGCTACCCATCTCGACCATTCGGTTAGTCAAAAATTTTAGTCGTTGAAGTTTCATTCCATGGGCTACAATTCGTTGCAAAACATAAAAGGATTTTTTTTTGGGATTAAAATGGAAATATTCCTATAAACTTATAACAAATGCACGCTTGGCACCATAAATAAATTTTGGGTGAAAAAATACACATGATAATTTCAAATTGTTGTAAAAGTGCCACAATCGTTAATTATTATAACATCGACCATTTGTTTGACCAAAAATACTGATGTGGATACTAACGTGGCTTAGAGAGTGTAATAAAAAAGAGTGAAGGTGTAAATATATCTATAAACTTTTATCAAATATGCACCTACTATCATAAACAAACTTGGGGTGTAAAAATACCCACTATCATTCCAAAGAATCTTAAAATGCTATAGCAATTTAATTCATTAAAGATGATTGTCTAATTCAAACTTTTGACCAAATTAAGTGATATAGACGCTAAGTTAGCATTTTAGTTTTCCCCCTTCAAGTATAACCTCTTCCTCTTTGCAAACTAGAGGAGAGGTGACAAGAGTAACTGAGAGAGAATAACATTGCTCTTCTTAAAAATAGAGAGACTTTGACAGATAAAATAAAAGAGTAAGTTTTGTGGAGAGTTTCAACTTGTCTTCTCTTCAATAAAAGTGCAACAATGAGGAGAGGACGTCATTGGGATTAGAGGGAGACTGAAATGTAATCATTTAAAAAGAAGAGTGAGTTGCACTTGAAGGAAGGAAGCTGAAATGCTAGCTTAGGGTTCATGTCATCTTATTTAGTTGAAAGTTTGAACTAGAAAGTCATTTTTAATTAGTTAAACAATTATAGCATATTAGGGTTGTTTTAAAATGATCATAAGTATTTTTACACCCAAAGTTTGTTTATGGTGTCAAGTGCATATTTGAAACAAATTTGTAGATATATTTGCACGTTTACTCTTTTTTATCAGATCCTGTAAGTCACATCAGCATCCATGTTAGCATCTACATAAGCACCTTCAGTCAAACAAATAGTCATTGTCATAATAATTAGCGGTCATGACATTTTTGCAACTTTTAAAATCATTATGTGTATATTTACACCCAAAGTTTGTTTACAGTGTCTAACGCATATTTATTGTAAATTCGTAGGTATATTTGCATCTTAACTCTTTTTTTTTAAATCACAAAAAGGTTCCAAGTAAGTAATGTGCTTTAATACAAGAGTTGGATAACTAATTTAAAAATATTAAAAAATTAATTTAGTTGGTTATTTATTAGAAATATGTTTTGACTTTCCTAGATTATTCTCTTTAACCATGTGTATTAAATGCCTTTTAGTTAAAACCTATCATAATTAATAGAAATATTTTTTTTAAATAAAAGATAAAATAGATTGTGATTTTATAATTAAAACTAAATTCAACCTCTCCAGTAGTTCTTATATTAACGACTAGGCCTAATGCCAAATCTTCCAAGTTTGACTATTTATTAAAAATTATTGGAAAAGGACCTGTGAATCACAGAATGAAAAAATTACAATTCCTCTTTCCGATATCTGAGTCAGATTAAAAAATTAACCATTCATCCTGCATGTTTTCTTTACACAAGTTTTTTTTTTTTTAATAAAAGGACCTATTAACAATAACTTAATTTCAGAGAATCATTAGTAATCAATTTACTTATTTGGCATTTTTATGTGATTTTCCCCTTGCTTTTGATGAAACTTGGATCAAGAACTATCTCCATTATTATTAGATATAACAAATGTTTGCATATAAATCAGGCAAAATAAAACCTTTACACAAATCATACCTATAAGTGATTCATCATATAAAATTAACACTATTACATATAAGTTTCCAAGTTATTGTCTACACCGACTAGCACTACCAACAGTAAACAGCTAGGCTTTCTTACTCACTCAACAAACTACAAGAGCAGATGAATATTTAAAATAAAAAAAATTGACAATAAAAACAATTTCACGCCAAGGTCAAGAAAATAAATAATAAAAAGGATATTGTTTCTTCACCGATATCTTCTGTAGGCTGGAGTATACATGCAGCTCTCAGCAAATTTAACCAAATCTTTTGGTTGAGGAAGACGAGTGGCCAACCCTGAGCCAAAAAGAAAACTCACTTCTAGCATCATTCTTTTTCTTTGTTTTTTAAATTTAAAGGCAAGAACAAAGCTTGCAGAGTTAAGACAAGGACAGATTAACCTCAGACAAGAAAATAAAAGGAACAAATAACTCTAAATCATCCAAGAGGCAGTCAAGGCAATAGGTAGGATGGTTCTGAATTCTAGTATCATTCCAACAACTAAGAAGCCAATTATCAGGGTATTCAAGAGAACAAATGCTTGAGACAGCATATGAACTAGGCCATTTTAGTATCATGGAAAGAAAAGAGATTGTCTCTTATGTTTTCTGTGATTATTGCTCAATAGTTTTTACTCTTTTTTATTACTTTTTAAGATAGAGAAACTAGAATAATCATCTTTGATCTTTTTTTTTCTTTTTGGCCTCATTTCAATTCATTCTGCTCTGTGCTAACCAGGTCCAAATGTTCCTGAGAAATGTTTTGAACCATCCATGTGTAAAGCGTTCATTAGAGGATCTGATAACAAATGATGATATAATGTATTCAAAGCTTTGCCGAAATGGCAGATAAGAAAGGCCTTACCAAGTTCATATGATTTGGCAGCTACTTTTGCAGCAATATGAGCTGAAATCTTTCTGATGTCTTTGAACGGTGGGTAAATGAGTCCCTTGTCAAAGTGCTCCTCTCTCACTTGTGAAGCCAAAGCCTCCGCTGTTTCAAGAAATAAGAGCAAACATCAATTCCATAGCATATAAAATAAAATATTCCAAAGATTCAGGTAATGCTCATTTACAAATTCCTTGCTAGCACTTTCATCTGTCAACTCCGACAAAACAGGATTAAATTCTTTAACCAAGAATTATTGCTAAAAAAATAATTCCCTCTTTCACTTGACACGGCAGGTTCAAAATGATATGCAGATTATGCTTCCATGACATGGATGTGTTTCAACTCGAGAAAAATGACTTTGAAATGGTCTTTGATAGTTCTACTCAAAATGTCCAAGTTAAAAATGACTTTCTTTGATAGTTTGAGCTTTGCAGATGGGATGGTCTTTGGCATGGTATTAGAGTTTGCTTGGCCAAGTAATGAAGAGTTTAATACATATTTGGGTGAGAGTGAAATGAGAAAAAAATTACTCCTACAGTCCTAAATATAAAACCCATTTTGTAATGTAAAATTATATTACAAAATAGGTCTTATATTTGACACTGGAGGACTATGACGATAATGAACAAGGGCAATACATAAAACCAATTAACTTATTCATATTGAACTCCTATAGCTCTATTCCTCCCACTTCTACTTGTCCTTAGCATGAAGTTAATATTCACGTCTCATGCACTTACAGGCTGCCAAAAGCAAGTCATCATGTACACGAATGGTCCCAGACATTATTAAACCCAGACCAAATCCAGGAAATATGTATGCATTATTGGCCTGAAGGAAAAAGAAAGAAAACACACAATTAGTCTTAATTCCAAATGACAATGTTTAACATGTAAAATTTCCTTGAAGCTGGGACCTGGCCGGGCACAAGTACTTCCCCCTCATATTCAACTGGGGCAAACGGGCTCCCACTAGCAAAAATGGCGCGTCCCTGATAGTAATGCATGAGGATAAGGGCCAGATACAAATAGATATAGTCAGTGATATGTTTCAGACACACACATATATTGAGGGAAAAAAGACCATAGGGAAGTACTTATATAAAGTATATGAACAGCCTTGGAAAGAAAGGGCCAAAGAAGCTTGGATTATGGCATACAGATGCTGGTTGCATGTTCCTATTACCTTGCTCCATGTATAAGCTTCTTCAGCAGTACATTCTGCCTTTGATGTTGGGTTGGAAAGGGCAAGAATCATAGGTCTCTGCAACCATTGTTACATGACACATCACTTTGTTTTTGTAAGTGGGAATGAAAGTCCACATTAAGAAGATGCATCAATTGCTTGAACGTAGTACCTCGTTAATTTCAGTCATAGCCTCAATCACCTCTTGAGTAAAAGTTTTGCCTCGACCTGATGTTCCAATCAACACTGTGGGCTTAATTTTCTGGGAAAACAAGATTGAAAATGTAAGCAATTTAAAAGTTCTGTTCTCTTGTGTATGGGTGCAAGCATGTGTGTCTGGATATGAAGGGGACAGTTCATACTTTAACCGCATCTACAAGTTCTGTGATCGGTTCATGTTCATGAGCCCAGGGCTTCTTAAAATGTTGAAGTGATTCTTTACGGGAGCTGACGATCAATCCCTACAAAAGCAGTAGTAAAAGATACGAAGATTAATCTGGTGTATAACAAACATCTATTTTATAAACGAGAGAACTAAACTAGGTTATATACAACCTTTGAGTCCACCAACCAAATGTTTTTGCGCACTTCTTCTAGTGATGCCCCTGTCTGCTTCAACAGTTATAGTTTCTCATTCAATATAAATTTGTTCCCCACAAATAAACAACAAAAAAGAATCAAGGAGAGGAAGAATAAACAAAGTCAAACTAGTGACTCTTATGTGGCCAAAAAAATGTATTGACTCCTAAAGCAGATGGCAACCTGTTTTGAAGTTTCAAGTGCTATGAGCTCTGCTATTCCAGTGCCAGCCTGCAAGCCCCATTATAATTTAGCCATAAGAACATAATCGCATGACAGTGGGAGTAATTTGTATGTTTACGATAAGGGACCAAGTGAAAGATTCACTGTGATTAGATAATATCTCTGTAATGTACTTAGTTCAGGAGATATCTTTCTACATTCCGTTCTTTTTTTTTTTTTTTAATTGTACCGGTTGAGAAAGAGACATAATTTCAGGTTGCATGGACTTGCCTCTCCGGCTCCAAGGAATAAGAATTTGTGATCAGATAACTTCCCCCCAACAAATTTCAGGCCTGCAACAAGTCCAGCAAGGACTACCGATGCTGTTCCCTGGAATGAAGTAGATAGAATATCAGAGATAGATAAATGGGTTTTGATTTATTGTACTGGAGTTGTATATTGAGTGATCTGGGTTCAGATCCAATCTCAGCCAAATTAACAAAAAGAAAAGAATACTAGATATGCTTAGGGACTAAAGCACATGAATTCATAACTTGAAACAAAAATATTTACCTGAATATCGTCATTGAACACAAGATGTGTTGATCTGTATCTTTCAAGTAGATCAAAAGCATTGTGGTTTGCAAAGTCTTCGAACTACAAATATGGTACAACAGGTTCAGAAAAAAACTGAAAACCAAAAATTAGTGATTTCTGTGTATTGCAGTCCATCAAATCAAGAAATGATCATTCCTTTACATGCAGCTCAATACCTGAACAAGGATTTTTTCCCCATAATTTTGCTTGACTGCTGTCATAAATTCATGGACAAGTTCGGTATATTCCTGCAATAAGAATAAATGAAAATATTACAGAATAGCTCAACAATTTTAATGATAGAGATTAAGAACACTTAGTTCAACACTATTGAAGAGAAGAAAACAGATCATGAACCTGGCCGGTTGCTCGCCTTTGCCTGAGCCCTATATATAATTCATCGTTCAACAGTCCCTCATTATTCGTGCCAACATCAATGGTTATGGGCAAGCACTGAAACAATCAAATAATAAGATAACATTATAATAGGAAGAAAAAGAAAATGGAAATGACATTATGCCAATCCCCACTGGACAACTTCACCATTATAATAAACAATATGAAACTATGATTTGCCAAAACAGGTGTTTTTGTACCTCGATTGAAAAACTCAAGTTTCAGTAACATCAATAAAGTCAAAACTATGTAATTAATCCTTTCGATGTTATATGGGCATAATATATGACTTAGCAATGTGGATTGCTAACACTTACAGCAGAAGGGCGTACTCCTCCTAGTGCAGTATATAAAGAAAGTTTCCCCACTGGTATTCCCATCCCCTAAGAAACACAGCATAATTAACAAAGAAGGAGAGATAACAGTATTAAATCTTATGCTTCAAATTACCAGAAAACTTGTTTCCATAACAGTAACAGAAATACCTGACAGCCAAGATCCCCAAGACCAAGGATCCGCTCTCCATCAGTCACAACAATGACCTGAATGTCCTTCTCAGGCCAATTTTTTAGTACTTCAAGAACCCTCCCCCTTTCAATCCCATCCAAAAGAAAAGTTACAAAATTATTTTAACTAAAAATTAGAGAAAACACTGAATGAAGTGGAAAAGGCAACTGGAACAAAACTCACTTCTCCTTCAAACTTATATAAAGACCCTGAGGACGCATATAGATGCTCCCATATTTCTGGCAAGCTTCTCCAACAGTAGGAGTGTAGACAACTGGGAGTAACTCCTCAACATGATCAATAAGAAGTTTGTAGAACAGCCTTTCATTTGTCTCCTGCAAACCATTATGTACTCTGAAAGCATTAGAGTTCAAGTCCAAATTTCAAAATCAATATGTACCCTCAAGGAATGATTTTGCTGTAAACAAATTACGGATAAAATCGCAAAAATATAGGGAGTTTTAAAAACTTGACTGTCTGTGCAAAAGTGAACAAACAAAAGGAAACATAAAATCTTAGTAATTTAAAAATTCATTCCCCGCAAATCCAACAAAAGTTTGCTGCAATACGTAAAATAAAGGCTAAATTGAAGGCGACCAAAAGCTTCATTCTCTTTCTGTTGTTATTTTGTTAAGATGTGTGTATCTATAGATAATTTGTTTATAAGATGACCTGAAGATTCATCATTGCCATGTATTTCTGTAATGGAAGTTGATATTGACGTATATGCTGGAGCATTTTCTTCACCTGAACAAGAAATAAGCAACCCCTTTTTACTCAATGTCGTACAGGCACATTCTTTGACCAAATAAAAAAAGCGCATTTCCAATTTATTCGGTCATTACACATAATAATAAGAAAAATATTCACAATATTATTAAGTCAGAGTTATCTGACCTGAGTTTCTTGTGGAATGCTTGTTGGGGGAAGAAGACCTCGCAAGAAGTGAGCATCCCTTTCTTTATCGGTGAAGGCAAGCCCTTTGTTAAAGTGGGGATCTCGCAACAAGGTATACCCACTAAAAACGAAGAAGTCAAAACATGAGAATTCTATTCTCTTGCTATACAGAAAACAGGAGGTATCCCATTGAATAAATTATTGCCGTCATTTGGATTTGAACAAAGAGCAAAACATTCTGTCAATACAACCATTGAAGAACATCAAATATTCAGAAACATGCATATCAGACAAATAAACCAATTTTACAACAATGAAGCTGTTCAATTTGAATCAATTATATAAGGCACTTAAAATATCTGCCAATGAACGTATTCAACATCCTCATTCACACAAGCTTTATATGAACCCCATATTAGAATCACAAACTCACAATGTGGGACTGAAGTCCCACATTTTGCACTCAAGTCATGACAAGGTAGCACATAGTCTTTAACTATAGAACATTACTACTCCCACCTAGCAACAGAAACACTCCATGGAGTAACATATTGATCTTCTGTGGCCTTATCCTCGCCATAAACATCCCGAACACCGCCGGCTACTGTTGGATTATTGTCCACGTCAGCTATAGTCTCCATCACAGGGCTGTGCTTTCTGTCACCACCTGAACTACCGCTAGAAGCCGAACATGCCACCCTGAAAGGAACAAAACGCCTCCTCTGTAGACTAGAGGAACTGAAACATCCAGCTAACCCTGTGTTGCTCTGTGCACAAATTCAGAGTAATAAAACTTTATACCCAGGTAAGCAAATCATGCAATCTCGGGAACATAAAAAAATAGTAGATTTTTTTTAAAAAATAAAACTCTGATAGAGAACTCATAAGCATAATTTCCAATGAAAGGGTCTACATTCTTGTCATATCAAATTGTGAATAAAAACAACCAGACAAAGCCATTGTTCTGATTTACCAGGAGAAAAGTACTAAAGTAGTGCCTGAGTTTGAATTTGGTTTTTTGTTGAGGCAGAACAAGGAATATGGTAAAAATTTTATGGATTTGAATTTACCAGGAAGCTGCATCCATTGGATGAGATCATGATGCCGAAAGAAATGTGAGACAGAGAGAGTCTTGCGGTTGTTGTATAATCGTATTTCGGGGGGGAGAGAGAGAGAAATAGAAAGAGATAGAGAGAGTCTTCAGGGAAGGTGCCCTTGCTTTTCTCTTCAATTCTCTTCTGCCTGACTCTCTCTGTCTCTCCTCTCCCTCTTCGCCTGAATGCGTCACAGAAGATAGGAAAGAGGAGAGAGAGTGAGAGAGAGCAGAAATTGGAACAATATAGGACTCGGTCCCAAGGCTCTGTTTGTTAGCTGGAGGCGGGTAGGTGACAGTTGTGACGCTCCCAGGAACGTTATGTGTTTTGTGCAGCTGATTTTTATTTTATTTTATTTTTAAATGTCTGGTGGTGAATTTAAAAAGCGAGGCAAAACTGCATTTGAGTATTGGTTAGAAAGATTTATATTAGAAAAAGTTTTGAACTTGAGTCTTGAATTTCTTAAGAAGAATTTTATAATTAAATTATTTATCTTCAATTACCTTATCATTTTTTTCTCTGTGAAATTTTTGAATCACCTTATTTAGACATCACAAATAATATCTGGACATCATTATATTTTTCAATTACCTAAAATTTCATTATTGAATGAGATTTAAGTATTGTTAAAATCAATGATAATGTTTCTATGTATTTCTTTTATTTATAAGGTTTGAATTTTTAACTTTATATAGGATAATCAAGTAATACTTCTGGTCTTTAATATAAGACTGCATTTGACTTTTATTTTGATCTTAAATATAAGACCCTAATTTACTTTATTTCTAATATTTATGCTTTTTTTTTAAGGTAGTCCTTCTAATAATGGTAGTTCTAGCCAACACACTCGATTAGCAAGGATATTTTAGGCAAGATAACACATATTTATTATAAATAACTAATTTAACTTATTTTCTTAATTTTTTCAAATTAGTCAATTAGTCTTATAATTAGGACCGGACGTAGTATATTTTTCGCTAAATTTAACTATCACGTATCGATGATAAAATCTCTAGCTTTTACAATGTGGATCATAATACTCCTCCGGTCCTTATTATAAGACCCCATTTGACTTTTTATTTGATCCTAATTATAAGACCCCAATCCATTTTGTCTCTTATATTTATGCATTTTTTTCCAAGATAATCCTTCTAATAATGATAGTTTCAGCCAATATACTTAATTAGCAAGGATATTTTAGGAATGACAACACTTATTTATTATAAATAACCAACTTAACTTACTTCCTTAATCTTCTCAAATAAGTCAATTGGGTCTTATAATTAGGACCGGAGGAGTAGTATAATATCCAAAAAGAATCCGATGTTCCAATCGTTCCACAAGTTTTCTAGTTATTAAAACTTTGTGCGAAAAGTCATGAAATGGAGGTAGGTGCACGCTTGAGTGGCCAAGAAAAGCCAAGACGTTTCATTCTCAAGCAACCATCTCCAGTTTGAACTATGTCCACAAAGCCAAATTGTTCAATCAAAATCTCATCAATAAACGAAAAATAGAATTACATTGTAGCCCACATAATGAAATATTCCTCCGGTCCTTAATATAGGATCCAATTATTAAGTTAGTTTTGGTTTTAATATACGACCCATTTCTCATATTTATCAGTTTTCTTTAAATTACCCCTATGGATACTCCCTCAACCATAATCAAGTAGAAGAGGAAGATGGGGTATTAAGAAAGATAATTATGGTATTTTAGAAAAAACGTACCACATTTCTTATAATTAACTAACTTACCTAACTTTCTTAATCTAATCAAATTAGTTAAATGAATCTTATATTAAGGATCGGAGGAGCATCAATTAGATTGTGTTTAGCATAGGAAAAAAATAAGTGGCATAGGCTAAAATTTATAAACAATAACGTCTTGCTACGTATGTTACATATATATATACTCCCCCCATCTCTTTTTAGAAGAAACTTTGGACTCTATTACATAGATCATAAAGTTAGTTAAAAACAATAAATAAGTAGAAATTGAAAATCCTTTCTCCAAAATACCCTTATTTATGAAAAAGAGAGAATATGGATGGAAAGAGATGATAACTTGAGAAATAAGATAATAAATATACTAGGTATTTAAATAAGTAATTAATGGGGGCAAAATAGAAAATTTGCTATAAAAATTTAAGATAATTTTGCAAATGTTACTTATATTTAAAGATAAGAGGAGGATGGTAGTTGTCACTTGTAGAAAAAGACGGGAGTATATTTTAAGAAATTGATATAATGTTGGGACCTTGTAACCTAATAACATTAAGCACTTCTTTTGTCTTTATATGACAATTTTCACTGTCTAGGTACTCCAATAATTCTTTACATGTCAGCCCCCCCGTCCAAAGCCAATAATAACATCATCTAGGCCATTAGCTGCTACCTCATAGTCCAAATCCACATTACTATTGAGTGCATCCATCACACCACTTCATACAATATTTCTTTCTAAACTTAGTTCTCTACTTATCTCTGAATGACTCTCATGATGCTGTTGATCTATCTGGTCTGGAAATTTAGGAATTGAATGCAAAAAGCAAACATGAAAGCAAAGAAGACAGTGAAGCCGACCAAAACTGCAGCAATAGGTCCCATGAAGTTTGGATCATACCCAAAATAGCTTTGAATGAACTCCTTGATCGGTTGACCATTATCCATCCCAGGAACTTCAATCCTGTCTTCTACATCTCCATACTGTGACACAATCAATCCATAAATTGTCCATGCCACTGGGCAAATCCAGCAATACCAAGACCACCACTTAGGAATCCTCTGAAATATGCAAGACGTTGTAAGAGTTGTAATGTTTTCAATATATATATATATATATATATATATCAAAGCAAATGGGAAGGGTACTACTACTCACTGGTCTTGGGATCATAAAACCAGAAAAGATATTGAAGAGTCCATAGAATGCTGATGAGAAAATTGCTGCAAGTTGGGTGGTGGGAGTGACTGCCACAGACATCATACCATAATATGTGAAGTACAGGAAGGAGAAGAAGCAGATGAAGTAGAACCAGAAGAACTTTGCTGCAGTCCATTCAAATGCAATCATAGAGTATACTATGATCGAGTAATATGTACATTGAATAAATATATAAGGAATTTCAATCACAACCTGCAAATTAATGAAACAGTACAATCGTTCATTATAAGCATCATATAACACTCCTTTCTTCTTATCTATCTTCTCTTTATCTTTTTTTTTTTTTGTTTGTCTCTTTAGATCTAAATGCTCTATATACAGTTAATTTTCTGACCGTGTCGAACCTGGGCTATGGCATAAGGCAAGCCTGCGTACATTCCAGCAGCCTTTTCTCGATAAAATACTGTTCTCTCAACGCCTACTACTGGTTGTATAGTTGAGCAGTTGTTGACTCCAACAAATTGGACAGCAGAAAACATGGCTCCTATAACGACTCTGAGGTCATTCCAGCTTTTCCTGTACGTACCAACATGATAAGAAAAGCAAATAGATGAAGGAAATCCTCCAATTCAACTCATAGAATTGAAGTTACTAGTACTGGTACCAACCTTCTTTTTCCAAACCCCCAAAATATTGTCCCCATAAGGAGGCCAGTTACCAAAGTGAAGAAGAATCTGACAAGGTTATAAGCTGGATTCCTCCAGTAACTCCACCATTTCTTCCACAAACAGTATTTGAATTGTCCCCATGTTGATTCTGCATACTGACTCTCAAAGTAGAGATCGTTTGCCCCACCTGGTGGTATGCTTAACTCCTTCACAAGTTCTTTGTTTCGCCTACTCATAGCCGTACATATATTCATGTTAGCTCAAAAATTAATTGCTATTGATATGTTTTCTGGTTCTCTGTCAACTTACTGGTACAAAGATGATGACTTGTACTGTTCAGCAAAATCAATTCCAAGTCGAACTTCTGCTGCAATGGAAGTTACTTCTAGCATCCACGCGGCTGGATTGTATTTGTCCCTGATTTTTGGGACACCTTCGATTGCCTGTGACAAAGGAATGAACATATATAGAATCAAATGTTTAATGTTTGTTTGAGTAAAAGAAAATGTTTATAAATATGTTGAAATACCTCAAAGAATTCTATGATTTTTTGAGAATGACGACCTAGTGGACCTGAGTAGATTACTTGCCCTCCTCTCTTCATCAGCAAGAGCTGGCGCAAAAAGAAACAATTCACTACGAAGTATATAAATGCTAGGGAGACAGAAACAAATAGAGTCACAAATTACTATGAGTTTTTTCAGTACCTCATCAAAGGCTTCAAAGATATCAATACTAGGTTGGTGAATTGTGCAAACAACTGTTCTTCCAGTGTCAACTGTATTTCTCACAGTTCTCATTACAATGGCGGCTGCTCTTGCATCTAGACCTGAAGTGGGCTCATCCATAAAAATGATTGAAGGATTGGCAACAAGCTCAACTGCAATTGTCAGTCTCTTTCTTTGCTCTGTTGACAATCCTGTTACACCTGGAATGCCTACTATAGCATCCTTGAGATTGTTCAGCTCCACCAAATCCATTACTTCTTCCACAAATTTCTTAGAAGATAACACAACGGTAAAAATTAGTTTCATGTTGTTAAAAAGGCACGTTTATTAAGGAACCAATCAAAAGAAATCACATGCTTAACGCTTTACCTTCTTTTCTTTCTGACTGACTTCTTTAGGTATTCGGAGGAAAGCAGAGAAAATCAAAGATTCGTAAACAGTAACTTGAGGTGAGTGGACATCAGTTTGTTCACAGTAACCAGAAATCCTTGCAAAGGTTTCTTGCTTCTTGGGGAACCCGGAGATTCTGATATCACCTTCAATGTAGCCACCAGTCTTCCTTCCTGCTAAAACATCCATTAAGGTTGTCTTTCCTGCTCCACTGACTCCCATTAAAGCAGTCAGAACACCAGGTCTAAACGCTCCAGTCACGTCCTTAAGTAGTTGTAGCCTATCATCTGTCACTCCTTGCTCTTTCATTTCCTATCAAAGTTAATTTCGTTAAATTTCCTTCACATGTATAATTTATGGAGCATGGCCACTTCTTAAAAAAGTTGAAGCCTTCATTTCTGTCTTCTGCCCTTTTAAGAAATAATAAATATCTAACAGTATGGCTAAGTCCAAAAATAATATAGGACTCTCTAAGTCCAAAAATAGTATAGGACTCTTACCCTTGGCATGTCCACATAGTAATTAACATTATCAAAGGACATTGCAAGCGGTGTGAAAGGTAGAACCATTCCTC